TAAAAAAATAATACGAAAACTATTCAATGATGGTTAAAAATTGATTTTTTAATTATTTTTTTTGATTGATTAAAAGAATTCTTTTGAACTTTAGGACGTATAGATATAGCCGGTGGTAGTTGGGTTTCAAATGATGAAGCTGTCAGTCATTATTCTGCAATGATTGATCAATGTACATTTGGTTTTCGTTTTGTTAAAAATGAGTTGCGTACTTGTTCACAACCTGCTGTTGCTTGGCAGCTTGATTTATTTGGACATGGACGAGAAATCAATTCTTTATTTGCTCAAGTAAGTAAAATCTATTTTCAATTGGCCAAAAATATGTTAAAACTTTTAAAAAAATTTCACATTCTTTTTTTTTGTAAAAATATCAGATGGGTTATGATGCTATTTTATTTGGTCGTCTGGATTATCAAGAAAAGGAACAACGTACAACTGAAAAAACATTACAAATGATCTGGAAAATAAATGAAAATGCTCGTAAGTTATTGAATAAACAAAAGATAAATAAACAACAAATAAACTTTTATTTTAAGCGAAGAATGAACGATGGTTATTTACTGGAATTCTTCCCAATCTATACCATCCACCAGAAACATTAGGCTTAAGATCGGATATTGCAGGTAGTTTATTGGTGAGTTTTAATTATTCAATGAGAAATATCTGAAAATAATCTAAAAAGTTTTTCTATTTAATCTTCTAGAGATCGTCTGATGTTGATACAATACAAGAATCGGCTAGTGTGTATAGTAAGAATTTGCTGGAAGCACTCAAAATTCAGGTTTCACGTTTGTTTAAATTTCTATTTTTTGCTATAATTAAAAATATTTTTATAGCAAAAAAAATATAATAGTAGTAATATAGTTATTCTATATGGTGGTGATTTTGAATATGAAGATGCTACACAATATTTTCAAAATATTGATGCTATGATTGACACTATTAATAATATAGTATGTTTAAATTAAAGAAAAAACCACTATCTTATTATTTTTCAATCGAATAGCAAAATACAACAAATGATGAAAAGAAATTCTATGTACATTATTCAACACCGACATGTTTTCTTCATGCTTTATCACAAGAAAAGCGCTCATGGCCTGTACGTGAAGGTGATTTTTTATCATATGCACATCGTGCACATGCATTTTGGACCGGATTCTATACATCAAGACCCGGTATCAAATATTATGAACGCTCATTAGGAGCTTTCTATCAAGTAAGTTTTTTTTTCTGAAACCGTCAAAGAGAAGGACATGTAATCTAATACATGTTGTCTTAATAGTCTCTTCGACAACTGAGTATTGTTGCGAATCAGATTGACTTTCATGGTTTATTCGAATTAGCAGAAATCATGAGTTTATTGCAGCATCATGATACCATCACGTATAATAATATTTAATCAAAGTTGAATGGTGATGTTTGCTATTTTTGTTAAGGGGTACGAGTCCAATGGTTCATATTGATGATGCTCTTCGACGAATGCATCGAGCAGAGAAAAATGGACAAGTATAAATTACAACAAAAGAAAACAACTTTTAGCTTCTTTTTCTTCTATTGAATATAGGCATTAGCTTTGTCACTCTATCAACATATTTTAACACCATCAATGACAACAAATTGGTCTACGCCATTAATTTTTTGTCAACTTAATGAAAGTTATTGTAAACCGCTTGCTGACATCGACAAAGTAAGTTATTGATGTTTAAAATGCATAAAACTATTACAGATTTTTGTTAGCTTCCAGGTTCGAGAAATTTGAACATTTATAATATAAAAATGTTTTAACAATTTTTGTGCTTTTCGAATAAGAACTTTATCATATCTTCATTTCAATGAAACATTGAATATTTCTTTTTCAATTTCCTTCAGTGCATTATTTTACCATTAAAGACAACTAAATGATAAAGATTTGAGGACACTATTTTCATTATAAAATAATTGTTGCTTTTATTTTTTCTATTAGTTTTCTGCAATTGTTTACAATCCTTCATCAATATCTAATCAAGTTTGGATACGTATTCCCGTTGCAGAACAACAGACCATCAGTCTCGATGTTGATAATGTAAAGAAATTTTCAATTGATGCTGTAGAATTTGGTGTAAAACATTCTTTTTTATGTGTTTGTCAAAAAGAGTACCATCTACTTGCTTATAGACTATCGGTTTATCACCTATGCATGAAAGTATTCCAATCGTTCATAAACGTGATCAATTACAAGAATTAATTGTTCGTGTTCATGTACCACCATTAAGTTTACAAGCTGTTCCATTTATCATATCAAGTAGGTGGTAGTTTTTTGAACAGAAATACTTTAGTGTCAAATAGATAAAATTCTTAAGGTAAAAGAAAGGTAACCACTTGAAAAAAAATATCATGATAACAAAATCTTCGTCTAGGTAAAACGTTGAGTGCATGTATTTTTCGGATTACAAACAAGAACAAATTGTAATTATAAAAAATTGAGCCATTTTTATAATTTAAAAAGTTTGTTTTACATTCTATGAAATGAATTTTCAAGAATATTGAAAATCAACACTGAGTTTGTATACAGAATTTGAAAATATACCAACTTTTAAACGATTATGCATATTGATTGACCAATGCAATATATATATGATAATTCCAGTGTCTCTTTATCTATGACTTTTATTTTTATTGTTAACCATCTAATAGATTTTCATCGAACTCTTATAGATGTTTATTGAGTTTTTTGTCTTGCACTTTTAATCATTATATGTTTCGTTAAAACTACATTTCACTATCTTAATACACATTTGCAAGATATAATTTCAAAGCAAACTATGTATAAATCGATATATAAATTCTGTCTGTGTAGCAAATCTAGTTTAATTTTCTGTTTCTGAAAAAATTCTCATATAAAATATTCAATAAAATCTATTAATTTAACACTTATAGAGCAAAAACAAAATGTTGAACAATTAATCATGGCAACATCAAGTTGTTCAATTGAAAATCAAGTAAAACTATTCTTCGTTAATTGTCTTATTGTGTAACTTATCTTCTTTTTTGAGCAGCATTATATATTAAAAGTCAATGAACGAGGTGTAATCATTTCATTACAAGTGAAATCAATTAATAAAGAAATCGATTTCACACAACATTTTGGTTATTATATAAGTAATTTTGTTTTCTTGTAATTTTTCAAGATAATTATGTTTATTTATAGGTTCTCCTAGTGACGACATATCAGCTCAAGCAAGTGGATTGTATGTTTTCCGTCCGATTGGTACAAATCCACCACAAAAAGTTAATATAACACACTTTTATTGTTTTAAAGTAAGATTAAAATGAAATTAATTTAACAATAATTGATATTTAAAATATGTCTTTCAAATTATAAAGCGTAAAGGTTATGAAGAAATTATTCAAGTTTATTCATCATATGTTTATCAAGCAATTCGTTTACTTGATAATTCACCATATATTGAATTCGAGTGGATTGTTGGACGATTACATATGAAGTATAGTAAATTATAAATTGATAAATAAGAAAATAAATTTAGTTGCTTTTTTATAGTGTCGAATTAGTTACTTCCTATCAAAGTAAAGATCTTAATAATAATGGAATCTTTTATACAGATTCTAGTGGACGATCATTAATGAAACGAATGTAAAACTATAGAATTAAAGGAAATTTTTTATGAAATTAATGTTTTTTTTTTCTTTTGGGTTAGACGAGATCAACGTGATGGATATCGTTTTAAACAGAGTGAAAAGAGTGCTGGTAATTATTATCCATTAGTAACTGGTATCATGATCAAAGTAAGGGGAACGAGAGAAAGAAAAAGAGAAATAATTTCTAAGAAAATTTAGGATGAAAAACAAGATTTACAAATGAGTATAATTACTGATCGAGCACAAGGTGGTGGTAGTATAAACGATGGACAAGTTGAAATTATGGTAAGTAAAAATGTTACGATATTGGGTTTTTTACTGTTATGGAATGAAGAATTATCAGATAACCCAGAAATAATCTATTCAAGAAGAAGAATGGAATATCTCTACTTTATTTTCACGAAATGAGTTAATTGATTTTCCTGATACTAAAGAAGAGTTGCAAGTTTTTATTCACAAATCATCAACTTATTGACATACTTGATATCTATCATTATCTAGTTTAATCCAAAAGTTGGCCTTTTTCGGATACTTCTATCAATAGTCAATGACAAGAAACGCAGATGTCTGAGATTTTTCGCTCCGACTTAGCTGATTTTGTGAAACTTTTTTTCATTAATCATTGGAGTAAAAATTTTTTCCTGTTTTATCGATAAACGAAGATACTAGATTCAGAATACTGGAAAATGTCTAATTTCTCCATAACTAAAGAAAAATTCAGTAAAAAAAGCTCTACAAAATGGCATATATATAAAAGTTTCGGATACCTTTAAGTCTTTCCGGATGACTACTCGTGCAACTACCCTACCAAAAGTTAGCTATTGTTACAAAAGTTTCTCAGAAATTCTTTGTATAACTACATTTGAGAAGTCAGATGAACTAACACAAACTCAAAGATTGCAAATAAGTCACTTTAAAAGTTGAGAAAATTTACGAACATGAAAATTTGCTCATGAATAAAAACTTTGAACTCTACTCTATCATTAAGAAAAAAATGATCCTGTTTTGGTCAAAATATGCTGGAGATATATTCTATTCTTTTTTTTTGGTAGATTATTTCTGGGACACTCTGTATTGAAAATCTGATGACAAGCAATTTTTATTATTTGAAAAAAATTTGATTAAACATTCTATTCTTGGGATTTACCCTTCGTTTTAATATGTGTATAGGATTTCATTGACTCTTATTTGAAAATAGGTCCTGAAATTTCGTTTTAAACATGAGTATTATTTTTAAGTGTTAAATAACTCTTTTCATAAATAAGTTGGTTTATAGACATCACTACTCATTATCGGATAAGTGGTGTAATTAGGAAAAAAGTTGAGGAGGGGGTTCGAGTTCCTTGACCATGTCTGTAGAGATGACTGAGACCCTCTGGTAACACTTCTAATGGGAATTCAAAGTTTTCTAGGATAGCCGAGCCCTTTCTAACCTTCGTCTGATTATGTTACTATATAGGATACAAATCAAAGTCTCATAAATAATATCTCAAACTGTAAAAAGCTCAATTTTCATAATTTTGTAGATGTCTATAAGACATTAGTATTATGCCGCTTTCCAAGTAATACGTTTTATGATTTTCTAATTTTGCAATCGAAATTCGCCATACGGAGAAAAATTAAATTTTTAGTTATACTTCTGCAACAAATTGCTTGTCAAGGACAATATCCATTCTATTTTATATTCCTTCACTAAACTATTTCTTATCTATTATATAGCTCCATCGACGTGTCTTAACTGATGATAGTCTTGGTGTATCCGAAGTATGTAAAAATCAAAGCAAATTTCTATTACTTATTTTTGAAATTGATTTTTTTTACAGACTCTCAATGAGCCGGGTATTGATGGTCAAGGTTTAGTTGTTCGAGGTAAACCAAATGAAAATGAATATTTTACCATGTTTTTTTATTTTATGTATATATTCGTGTAAATAGGTCGTCATCTATTATCAGTAGCTAAACCTGATGATAGTATGCAATTCTTTCGTGAATATGCATTAAAATCAGTTTGGAGGCCAATAATTGCTTTTCGAAATGATAGTAATGATCAACCTCTTGATTATAAAACAGTAAGTTTTAGACTATTTCTATTATTTATAAAATATATATTTCTATTTATTAGTGGTCATTATTAAAAACTGAATTACCTCCACAAGTAAATATTCTAACAATAGAACCATTAAGTCAAAAAGAAAATATTTTAACGATTCTTTTTCGTATTGAACATATTTATGATCGTAATGAACATTCCAAATTATCAAAATCTATTTCAATTCAAATTCATGTAAAATTTTTTAAAGAAAAAAATTTTTTATTAAATAAAATTTTTATATATTAATAGAAAATTTTTAATAAGTATAAATTACTTAAAGCTAACGAAGTAACATTAGGTGCAAATATGAATAAAAATGAAGCATATGATCGATTAAAATGGACACTAAATTCAACATATGGTTTGTTATTTATTTATTGATTTAAATAATAAATTTGTTTAATATTTTTTTCTCTTTTAGAAGATAAAAATGGATATAAAGAAACGCCCACTTTTGATGGACAAATCATTCACTTATATCCCATGCAAATACGATCGTTCATTATTAAATTAACAAAACATTAAAAATCATCTTTCTTTTGACATAATTGTTAATTATTTATTGCACTTGTTTTTTTTTTATTTTTAGGAGTAATATCTTAGCAAAATTTTTTTTCTCTTATTTCTTTTAAATAAATAACAACAAAAATAAAAGAAACAATGATGATAATAATTATTGTTGAAATAAAGAATGATCTCCATCACATTCTTTATGCATACTTAAATCAATTTTTGGATGTTTTAATAAAAGTTCAACTATTCGTATATTTCCTTTTGAACAACAACGATCTAATGGTGTTTGTTTATATTTATCTGTTGCATTTACATCAGCATCATGTTCGAGTAACAATTGAGCAATCTAGAAATAAAAATAGGATTTTAAAAATTAACTTTTGTTGTGTTTGTTACTTCATAAAAATTTTTTGAACATGCATAATGCAATGGTCGAGCACCGGATGAATTTGATTGTTCAACATCGACTTTATTTGTTTGTAATAGCATTCGAACAATTTCAAGATGACCTGTCGATACTGCAATCATCAATGGTGTCCAACCAAGCTGGAAAAATAGAATTGAAATATTCATTAGAATCAAATTTTCTAATTAATGAGAAAAAAAAAACAATATATTTCTTATCTTAATCATGAAACAAGAAGAAGAAGAAGAATATCTCGCCTTCCAGGGTTACCTTGTGATATGTGGTTCTGCATGGAAGTAGCTGCATTAGCCCAATACCTTCCCTAGAACACTAATACTAGATGTAACTCTAGACAGACGGTCGCTCTGACTTACAGTTCTCTCGTTCAATCGTTTAAGCATCTCATACGCACTAACTAACGATGTACTAGTCACCAGGCCTGATCTATGTCAACATGTAGTCAGTGTGCTATTGAATGGATGATCAGAGACGAATAGCTGTTAATAACTTGTCCAGGAGTATTCCATGATTATTGACAGTGATATTTGATTACATACTAGACACTATGTAATATCTATAAACAAAAAAAATCATTGAAATCGGAAGAAGACATCTGAAGAAATTCTCTCGTCAATCATGGCAGCGCGGAAAATCATAAGGAAAATAATCAATTATATGAAAATAGTTTATTTTTTTAAGTTCTTCTTACTTCATCAGGAATATCTAGTCGAATATGACAAACATCAAGTAGATATTGAACAATATCCTTTGCACCACTTGAACAAGCCCAATGAAGAACAGTACGACCATCCTAAAATCATTGATGATCTTATGAAATTTTTATAAATAAAACAAAAAAATTTACGTACACGATCTTTTGCTTTTACACACTGAGGATCAGCATCTATTTTCGCTTTAAGTTGATCAAATTGTTTTTCATAAGCGAAACAACAAACTTCTAAATTAGATATATTCATCTCCATATCAATCTAGAAAAAAAAAGTTTCTTTTAATATTGTATTCTTTATTTTAAAAACTAAATGAAAATGTTATTAAGATATTTTCGAACAAAAGCCTTGTAAACAATTAGACGCCATTGGTATTTTAAGAATTTGTTCATTAAGTAAATCTAAACTGTCAAGTGAATAATGTCGAATAATTAACATAGAATATTCTTGTTTATTATTGATTATTTCTGATTGAAAAATAACAAAATATGATTGATGTGTAGCACCAAGAAATGAGTATTGTTCAAATTGATCACGTACAAAAACTAATATAATTGATAATGATTGTTCTTGAATAGAATCAACAAAATGTAAAATAATCGATGAATTTGAAGTTTGTTCAATCGATTGTATTAAAGGTGGTAATGATTCAATTTTTAAACAATGAGATTCAACAGGATGAATCTAAACAAAACTTTTTTTTTCTTTCAAAATAAAACTTCGACTAATTATCTAACCGATAAATAACCAAGTTTGATAATTGAGTGTATATTTTCATCATAATGAATCAATATATCAGTTATCGATACTCGTTCATTAACAACAATTCGATAAGTTCTGACAAAAAAAAAAACAAAACTTAATATGAGTAAAAACAAATAAACATTCTCATACTTTTGTTTCCAATCACGAACAATTAAATCTTTGTCACTTTTCTCTAATCGAATATGTCTTCCATCATCAAGTTTAAGTTCGAGTACAATATCAGCAATATATTTAAAAACTAATGTTATATCACAAATCGCTTCTATTGGTATTAAACATTTAAACAGTCTAGAACAAAAAAAAAAGAATCTTACAAAAGAACTATCCCAACAATGACTTGTCGTTTGAATTCATATTAAGCATTCAAAGAGGTTACGGTAAGACTAGAAAAAGTCTAAAATGGATTGTCTCCATGGTTACAGCCGGAACGAAAATATCTTTGTTAAGATATTGAATTTCCAAAAAATAGTCGTTCGCCACAGTCATGATACAAAGACCAAGTTTACTCAAAGACTCAATATCTTAACAAAGAAATATTCTAAGGCTCATAAGACCTCACCTATACGCAAAATTTCATATAGAAATTTTGCTATTTGATTTTTCGGTAAAAACCTAAAAATAGGTAAACATGTCGCTGAAAAGGTTATAATTTGATTTCAAAACATCATGGGGACGAGTCATATTCGGTCTTTTCTAGTCTTACAGAGATCTTCTTGTACACCTAATATGAGCTCCAACGGTGAGTTACAGTTGAGATAGTTTCCTTGTTAGAAAACTAATAAAACACAAAATAAAAGTTTACTTAAAATAGCCTTTAGAATCAGCTTTAAATTCAATACATGATCCACCAAAATAAGCATCATCATGATTAATTAACCATTTATTTTCACTCAAAACATTAGGTAAATAAGATTGTAAACTAATATTATACCATGAATTTCGTGCTAGATTCTAAATTCAAATTTATTTTTGTTTGTTTTTTTTTTGAAATTTGAAAACTTACTAAACCATGAATGAAGAATTCTTTACCAAAACCATCAGAAAAAAATGTTGTTAACGATTTCATATGAAGAATTCGTTGGCTTGTATATGGTTCTAATAAATTCCAAAATCTATATTGTTCTTTTTAATATCAATTATTTTGAGTTCAATAGAATTAACTTACTTTCTATCATTTTCAAGAAATTCATTTATATCAAGTGTTTCAAATAACCAACCAGGTGCAAATATAGCTGCACTTAAATCATTTGTATAACTTACAGACAATGCCTGAAAACAAAAACAAAATGATTATATAAAAGCAAAAAAAATAAGAAAATAAATAAAGATAAATATACTTCACATGTATTAAAACCACCACCACCAAAACATCCTCGACCAAAAACATCAATACCAACAAAAACATCTCGACAACGATTTCCAGCATTAATTTTTGATTGTAAAAGCTTTTCTAATTTCCATGTATAATTTAAAAATATTCCATCACATACATTAAAAAATGGTCTAGATATAAAATATTGTTTATATAATAGACAACATCTATATCTTTACTGATTAAATTCATTTAATTGATCTTGCCATTTTAATTCACCATGTATAGTTACACTATCATACCAAATAACTAAACTATTTGGATCAATTTTTGCACAAGCTAATTTAAGTTTTGAAACAAATGAAAGAAGACGTTGAACATATTCCGGCTAAAAATAAACATTAGACAATTCTATTATTGTTTTCATCATTAAGATAAATTTTACCTCAATTGGATTTTCAATATTCAATAGATATCCATCAAAATTATACCATGCCATAAGTAATGCAAGAGCATCAACTGCACGATCAACATTATCATCTGATGCTAATAATTCACGACATATTTCTTTTCCTGCATCAAATTCAGTTATAAATGTACCTGAAATTATATTTTAATATTCTAATATAGTAAATATTTGGAAAAAAAAACATACGGACCAAGTATTTGAACACCATTTTTATGTGCACAATCAATCCAAACTAATGGTGGTATAGTAACAAGTTCATGAGAAAAATAGACGAATATATCGATTAGATGCCAACGAAAAAATCGATAACAAGGTTCATGTGTTTGACAACCCTGTATATGTCTACAATTAAATCAACATAATAAATCTGAGACTAAATTTGACATTTCAATAATTTCTCAATCTTCTTTTTGCTTTAACTCAAGATAAAGTGATGAAGAAAAATTCATAAAACAGATATAACTATCAGAAATATCCATTGTAACTGAAAATCTACTGCTATTGCATCATCACGAACAACTTGTTCTAATGTACTGCCATCGGCACCATATTCAAAAAGTATTGCAAAAATCATTATCAACATGGTGTCGGACCAGTACCTATAAATTCATTCAGTTTTTGCAATGTCTATTCAAAAAAAATCATCATCATCGCAACAGTCTCATGATAGCATTGTTAAAACATCTTTCGCGCCGCTATCGCTTCACGTTGTCTCTCCAAATAATCTGTCGCTATCATCGTGGATATCTCTGTTGCCTATTTTCGCTACTATCACATTTTTATCAGAATTAAATTTTTGAATTTACATACTTATCTTCCAAATATCCTCCTTTCATGTCATGACATAATAAAATTTTTTGTCGTGATGATGTGTGACGTGGTATAAGTTGTGAACATTTAAAACGATTTGTTAAACATGATAACGATATATCGTATAGATCATTGAGTTTTTTAATAGGAGAACAAATAGTTGCAGTTTCTTTTGTTGTCATCTACAATAATATTATATATTTCCAAATATGAATACATCTTGATAAGATAAAATTAGTTGACAAAATAATAATAATTAAACATTTCATATGTTCAATTATGTAAGAACAAAAACAAGAGAATATTTTTGAATTCTTTTTGTTTTTTTTTTTTATCAATCGAGTAACTTGTGAAGGAGAATAAGATAAGTTCACCTCCTGGAAAAATAAGTTTAAATATGTGTTTTCTAGACTAGTTATATATGAAAAGTAAGAATTTGTTTTAATTTTTAGTGTAGGATTAACTAGAGAGTTACATATCTAATTGAAGATTCATTGGTTTTTTCTTTATAGAGTTAGTGTTGGTTGACACTCTCATATTCTGAATTTCAAAAATATGAACCATTATTACGATCATCTCTTTTTTTATTTCATTTCAACTATATTTTGTTCAAAGTTCACTCAAATAATTGATTTTCAATTATTAGCAGTCTCTTGTTTTTTTTTCAATCGGCATGTTATTTAGCAAAAATTTTCATTGTGATATTACATTACTATAGATAAGTGTGTTCCCATAACTTAAATCAAGTTAATTCTATAGTCAGTGTATCTTTCAACAACGGATAATGAATTCTAGTAAATCTTTATTTTTCAACTATAATTCATTAGACCTCAGGTTAAATCACTTTATAAAACTATTAAACACAACATTTTGTCCGAATTTACTCTTCCGAAAGAGCGATTTAAAACTTCGGAAGCACAGAAAATATAGTAAAATAGTCGCAAACTTCAGCAGGCTCAATCCAATCTTCTGAGGAACGCTGTCCTCTCGGTCCTCACACTGGATAGAAAAGTGGAAAGGAGTAGAGAGTGTAAAATGTATGAAAGTCATAGCCGGGAAGTAAACTGAAATAAATTCAATTTCTCATGGACTTCTTCGTTATATTAAAATCCTTATTATTATATTTTTTTTCCATGATGATATTTATCCATAATGTCATTCACATCTATCTAATTCTTTCTCTAACTAACAAATTTATGATCTATCTCATTATAATAAAAACTTTTTAAAACAAATAAACTAATCCAAGCATGGTCTTTTTTTTAACGTTTCATAAGAAACCATTGATATAGAACATGAGAACACGTATTATGAAAAGAAAAGAAAAAAAAACACACAGAAACATGACTAGGATTTATTGTCTAATTTTCGTCGTTTAACCGATGTTGTAGATGTTGTTGTCGTTGCTGTTGTTGTTGGTAAAGGTGGTGGTAATACTGAATTTCCATTTTCAAATCGATCAACAAAATTTTTATTTTCTAAATAAATTCGTTCATGTTTATGAATACAATCAATTAATAATTTAATAGTTGTTTTTGATAATGGAATATTTAATAAACTTTCATCAATAGTTAAACGATCATGTAAATCATCTTGATCAATTTTATTTTCATTTATATCAATATTTTTATTTTCTAATAAAATTTCTAAATGTTGTAAAATATATTTTAAACCATTTTCATTTGCCATTTTAATTGTACCTATTTTATAATCAATTTTTTGTTTTGTTTGATCATTTTCACGTTGTATCCATTTTTGTAATATACGTTCAAGATGTCGCCAAAATGTATCATGATGTTGTTCATGCCATAAAAGACAAAGTTTTTCCGAAAAATTTTTTGTTAATTCATGTGCAAATAAACAACAAACAATACCATATGTTGGAATTTTTGTTTTTAATATATCATAAACATTAGTTAATGCTATTGTATTACGATATGTTGTATAATTAATTGATTTAGCTAAACGTTGTTCACCAATAACAGATTTTGTATGATTAAGTAAATGTTCAATAATATTTGTAAATAATTGTTCATAATCATTTTGTACAAAATCATGTGCACCTAATAATTTCCAAAAATCTTCTTGTTCATTTTGTGAAAATAATAATGTTTGATCAACAATTGAATAAAGTTTATGTGAATTAAATAATTGTAATTGATGTTTAAGTATATCACACATAAATTGTTCTAATTCATTATGATTTATTGTATGTAATAGAAGACGTATTAATTTAATATTATTAAAAAATTTTTTTGAATAAAGACGATAGATATATGAAAATAAATAAAGAAATGTTTCTGTATCATCTTGTTCACAATAAGTTAAAATTTCATGTATAAAATCAATAAAATCTTGATCATATGTTGGCATTTTAGCTGGTGGAATAGATGGTCTAAGAAAACAAATATTATTTTAATTAATTCATTGTCATATATACAATTTCTTTTTGAATTATTCGAAAAAAAAAACCTATTGCCGGAAACACTAATAAGAATCTAAATAGTAATTGGAATAGAGAACTTTATTTCCAATAAGAATATTCGAAGATGAGAGTGGTTACTAGCCTTCCAAGAATATAAGATCTCTGAAAAATCAAGCATTTTAGTTTCTAGAATTTGCAAATAGAATTTTGTTTCAATTACTCAGAAGGATAGAGCAAACGACTCTCTACAACATGAAAACTCTTCTAGTTCTCTACAGTGTTTACTGACAGAGGTACACTGACCATACGAATGACAAAAAGTTGTCTTTTTCTGTTATTTTGTATGAAAACACACTTTTTATGCTTTCTGTATAATTGATGTATCTCGATCAATAAACGTCGTAGACATCTGGAAGAGATTTCATTTTGTAGGGAATTCTTTACTCTATCATTCTGAGTAATTCAAATACTTAGGGCATGCCAAAAGTTCTGGTCACGGCGTTTAAAGGATCTTTTCGGATAAGAAGGCCTATTGAGAAATGAAAAATCAAATATACCATGTTGTAGAGCTTTTTGAGGCGCGTCGAATAGTATATAGTAAATCTTGTTTTCATAGGACTTTGAAGGATCTAAAGTCAATTTACTGATAGACGACTACACATTCAAAAGATAATCAGAGATACTACGTATATGAGGTTTTAGCCCGTCAAAAACTCTACAAAATCGTATGCGAGGAAAAATATTGTACAAATACTTTCGACTAATACCGAGGACCACAATATTCAGAAACTTATCATGCTTGAGTGTGGATGTGTAATCGTCTATCAGTAAATCGACTCTAGTTTCTTCAAAGTCTTATAAAAACAAGATTTACTATATACCATTCGACGCACCTCAAAAAACTTTACAACATAATATATTTGGTATTTTTGCATTTCGCAATAGGCCTTCTTATCCGAAAAGATCTTTTCAACGCCGTGATCAGAACTTTTTATATGCCTTAACTATAATTCTATTTGGTAATTCTAAGAGATGAAATACTTGGTTTTTCAAAAACTTTATCCTTATAAAACTATCCATCACTTTTATCTACGAAAATTCTTATTGGAAATAAAATCTTCTACACAAACTACTATTAAGACTCTTAATTTTTGCGAGTCACCGTTTTGTATCCTTATTCTAGGTTACTTTCTTTTCTATAGTATATATTTGAATATTAATTTAACTTACTTTCTATGATTACTACTTGATTTAATAATATCATGTGCAAATTTTTCAAACAATTCTATAGCTATTTTCATATCATCAATATCAATTGATAAATAATAAAGAAATATATAAGATAATTCTGGTTGAAAAAAATACATAGCTTGTAAAAGTTTAATATAAACAATTTGATTTGATATATCATCTTTAATTAAACGAAATAAAACATATAGAGATGATTGTTTTATTGAACGTTTTAATTTTTGTAGTGGTATATCACGAAAATTATTTTCTAACATTGAATTTTGTTTATTTGATTGAGATATTCTTAATGAAGGTAATAAACGATTTTGAAATGAATCTCGTAATAACCATAAACATAAAAGACCATTAACAATAGTTTGTTCATCTAATATTGTTAATAAACGTGATTGAAATTTATCACTTGTTTTTTCAAATTTAATCATTGCATAGGAATTTATTGGTCCAGCTGGTTCATTTGCTTGAGTTTTTAATATAAGTGGACGTTTATCACTTAATGATAAAGCTATTTGTTTATATATTTGTATCAGTAATGAAGATTTATTACGATTTATTGATTCAGAATAAGATAATGACATTTGTTGTACACGATCATTTATATATGAACGAAATCGATCAAATGGAAAATTTGTACGAATTATATTTGTATTATATGTATCAAGAGATGTTTTTGTTTCTTCATTAATCATTAAAATATCTTCATCATCATAATCATGATCTGACAGTTTTAATGAAATTCTATTATTTTCATATTCATCATCGTCTTCTTCATCATCAGAAAAACGTGGTGAAGCTGTTGTATTTGCTGACATGATCATTATCTCATTAGATTCTTCATCCATTGTTACTGGCATAACAGCATTTGGATTATTATCATCATTAATTACTATTACTTCATCATTTATTGGTACACCTGAAATTAGGAATAAATCAAAATATAATTTCTTTAGTAAATGATTTAAGGTAGTCATTAGTATAAGAAGATATATACATACTAAACATCTCCCGTTTTGGATGTATTAACTATCATAGTGAAAAATCAGATGAAGATGTTTTCATATCAGCTTGAAACTATTCACTGTCTCATGAATAAAAATAAGTTTGTTCTTCCCTGTGTCTTGTACTATTATATATATATATATACATTGGTATGTCATTGTATAGGTAACAGAGTTAACTACATTTATAGACACATATTATATTCTATTTCTGTGTTATTTTGTATTTATTTCAAAATGATCTATTTTGATGACATTGAGAATACACAAATGGCAATGCAAAGTAGAAAAATATCTTATTTAATCATTTTTAGTTTTAGAATGCAGCCACACCTAAACGTGTCTTTTTTTTGACAGTCGATCATTTTCTATAGTCGATAAGCTTTGCAAATGGTCGCCCACATTATTATCAATAATGGATGATGATCTAGCTCTGAACTGGGAGGGGGCAATCTTAATCAAAGTTTTTCTTATCCAACTGTTCGAACTCTACGTGTCTGATATTATATGTATGGATAACTTGAACACTTGAACGAGAACTTTAAGTGAGATTGTCGACCTGGTCTAGAGCTGCGTTATCATCGATTATTGATAATAGTGGAGGTAACCGTTTGTGAAGTTGTATCGGCTACAGAGACCAATCGGCTTTCAATAAAAGACACTTTCAGAGATACCTTCAAGTTATAACTGAAAATGATTAAATAGGATATTTTTCTTCGTTGAATTGCTGTTTATATTCTTTCAATATCACCAAAATGAGTCATTTTGAAATAAAAAGAAAAACAAAATAACACGTAAATAATCATATAATATTTGTATACAAATGTATGATTCAGTTACCTTTACAATGGCATACAAATACGTATAGAATAATACAAGAGAAAAGAAAAAAGAAACAATTGAAAAAGGGATTTATTTTTATTCGTAGGAAACTGACTGGATGCTAAATCAAAGAATTATAAATAATGCTGAACTGAAAGCTCATATGAAACTATCATTTATTCCTTAAAAATGTGTCAGACTGGTTTTAATACTGTAAAAACAACAGCTATGAAACTTGACTTCTTTTTTACTAGACTTTCTATATATATTTAAATAAGACAAATATTCGTACTGTAGTTTGATCTTAATTCAGAGGAAACCAAAATTCTATACGAATCATATAGTATTCAACAATTTAGGGTTAACATACACTGTAACTTCCTGCTCATTCTCTATATGCACAAAGTCTCAGATCAAAATTCGAAAATACGAATTTTCCGAAAACATAGATTTCTAAAAAATAGATATATTAAAAATTCGACAGTTGAGTGAAATCTCAATAGGAACTCAAATCGGTTTTGGGTTTTTACTAGAACACTATGTAGTATCTATAGGCAAAAAATCATTGAAATCAGAAGGAAGCATCTGAAGAATTTCCCAAGTTAGCCATATTGTTGTCTTTGTCCAAATACTAATAGGAGTAAAAGTTGAGTCTAGGGCTTTAACAGTTCGAGTGTAGAGTAAGAAATGATAAACAATTTAAAAGAGCTCATCGAACATCTACTTTTTCTGTTATAATCTTGTTTGAGAATAGTAATAGAAAGGTTATGTTGTTTAATTCTCCTTCTGGTACTTTTCAGATGAATAACCGGTCATCAGATAAGACTGTAAATCTATTAACCGCACGGTTGGGTTCAAAATTAGATAAGATCTCACGGGAAAATTTTTGAAATATTTTTTCTTGATCGGATTAGAAGATTCAGGCTTTCTAAAACACCTTTCAAACTTTTAGCCTCGGGAAGTCTTTTTTCATGGATGAAGTGAAAAAAAAACAATCAAACCGACTGAAATAAAATTTTTGTTTATTTTATTTTATTTTTTTAACATTCAAATCAATTCTACATTATCTCCATTATATGCATTAGAATCTTTTAAAATATCTAAAACATTGTCAAATAATTCAATCTATCTTACTCATTGTTGTTGATGATGGTAATGAAAAAAAAGTTGTAAGTAAACGTTGATAAATATCTCTATCATGTGTAAACATTTGTAATAATTGTTGTGAATTTAATATTGGTATACGTTGAAATAATTCAATAAATAAACGTGCAATATTTTGTTGTATAAATGTTTTTAATGATAATATAAAATTTTCTGATGTATATAAAAGAAATAATAACATTTGTTTAGCATTATAATATGACATTGTTAATAAATGATAACCAACAACAGTTGAATTTAATTGTACATCAAATTCATTTGTTAATTGTTGTAAATTATTAATATCAAATAAAAACCAATCATAATAAATAGCTAAACGACATTGTACTATTTGTTCATTTATTTGCATTAATTGTGGTGATGATGATGATAGAAATGCAGCAGCATTCATTGCTGTTTGACTTGCTGTTATTAATGTTTGTTGTAATGTTTGTTGATAATTATATAATTGTGTTAATAACCATGATATAAATATCCAACGTGTTATTCTATTTGGATTTAATTGATTACGACAAACAACACATACATAACGTATAATATGTGAACATAAATAAATTGTATCTGGATATTGTTTAAAATTTAAATATTGACTTTGAAACCAATCAAAATAATATTTTTCTTGACTATTTAAACGACAATTATCAAGAAGAAATTGTAAATGTTTTTCTAAATCAAATGATAATGGTAATGCTAAATATTTTGGTTCAGTTTGTAATGATAAAATTTTAGGTAAATAATCATTTGATGTATTTAATGATAAATGTTTTAAAAATAAATCAATTTCACGTATATGTCCTATTTGTATTAATAAACGTATAGCATCACGTCCAATACAATGAATATTTTCACGTGTTAATTGTAATATAAAATCAATTTGTCGTTGTTGTTGGGAACGTCGACGTATATATATTGGAAATATTGATAAAAATGTATATATTGTTAATAACATCATTTCAGGATAAGTTTTTAAAAATAATGGATGTGCTAATAATAATTCAAGTATTGTTTCACATAAATCTAAACATTGTTCATGTGGATTGATTTGTCGTAAAAAAACATAATAAAGACGATCAATACCATCAATATTAGCTGTTAATGTTTCACGTAAAAACCATAATAATTGTTGACGTACATTATCATGTATACGACGCCAATTTTTAATAATTAATGTTTCAAGTATTGAAATTATAGATGAAAGATTTGTACCATTAAGAAGTAAAAGATCATGAAAATATTTTGCTTTATTATTTATATCAGTTAATATACCATATAGAAGTGCATGTGATATATGTTCTTTATGTTTTTTATTTGTTTGTCCAATTTGTAAAAGTATATTTGAATCCATTGTATAACGATTTTGTTGAATTGCAGCAAAACATGATTCAAGATATGCATCTGTTGAATCTTTTAATTCAATTGGAGTATAAAGTAAAAGTTTTGAATCTGGTGATATTGGTTTTATATTATTTGATGCCATAAGATTTTTAAAAATTTTATTGGATAAGTTTGTAAAAGAAAAAATTGATTTATACTTTTTTTTTTCGAATACACTCACGAAAATACAAAAGTAAGAAGAAAGAAATTCACCGAATTGACATATTTCTTTTTTTTTTTGAATTGATTAGCAATAATTTTATCTAGAAATAGAAATATTAAAAAATAAAATTAAATAGACAAAAAATTTTCGTAATCAATATATATATTGAAATCTCTTCTCAAATGATGAATATATCATGGATTAAAATAAATCAATCGGGTGTTATAACCAATAGAGGGCGTAAATATATGAAGATTATATAATAAGTTATTTTAAACATTTTAATAAATATATTTACAAATTTATTATGAACAATATAGATTATATCTAAATATATTACAAGTATTTATAAAAAAAACATGAGTAACTAATATAGACATTACTTGTCTGAATTAGTGTTCTACGGGAATGCCTTTTTTTCGATATCTGTTCCCATAATGCTTCCAGAATTCCTATTAGGATTTCATTTTTCGTGTTTGAGAAAAATTATCATTACCAGACACTAGCTTCTATCAACGTTGCACTTTACACAATGTGAGATGGCCTTAAATTAAAAAAATAAAATTATCATTGGAGGTACATTGTAGTAAAATAAATAAATTATTATTTATACGTCGAAATTTATCAATATTAAATTAAGAGAATTATTTCCTTCATCAATTGAAAAGAGAAGAAAAATACTAGCACATTAACAACATAGATGAAAAATTGAAAACATTCAAGAGGAGAGGATTATAATAATACTTTATTGTGAAATAATCTGAATAATAGTCCTTTCGAAGGTATGATTTAACGAATCATGAGAATGAGTTTATGTAATTTTTATTGATAGATATTTGTTATTTTTCTTTTGTTTAATAAGCGATGCAACATTCTTTGGAAAAATGTCGAAATCCATTTCTTAACAATCTAACATCGAATTAACTTCGACATTTTTTTTTTGCTTGAAAAAGCAATATTTGGAGAGTCTATACATAGAAAAGACAAAACAAAACGATTATCGGGAACATTCATGTCTTAATATCGTTCCTGTTTCCAATTCTTGTGGGAAAACGGACGAGAATAACGAGAAAAAAAATCATTTAATGCAGAACACTAGTCTTGACACATTTGTTAGAAAAAATTTATGAAATACGTCATAAAAGTTATAAGCTCTACAGCTAGAACAATTAGAAGAATATTAAAAATTTATTTCAATCTATACTAAACAAAAAAAAATTATTGAAACTACACATAGACTCTTATATTATTATTACTCATGTCGCAAGGTTGTTCGCACTACCGCTGATATAACGCACATTATAGAGAACCGTTTACCGTCAGTTTTTGCCCGGTTGAATCACATGAGTAGTAACGTTCTTTACTTGTCCGCATGTTATTTTTCTGAACTATATATTCACTATAATATTCATCTTAATTAAAGAAGACTCTGTATAAAAACTGTTCGTATCAACTGAATAAAACAATTCTAAATAAAATATTAATTTGCAAAATGAATTCATATTTCATCTCAATTGAAAAAGTTGTAAAAGCAAAAAAAGACAACAAACAAAATATATTAAATACAAAGTGAATTTGTAATAATTTCAATCTAATTCTATAATGCAAAAATGAATCCCAAAGAATGTACACAAAGATTGTCTGTCTTAATTACAAAAGACACAAAGAATAGAAAAATACATTTATTGTTTCATGTCCACAATAAATTTTTTGTTATTTTTCTATGTAAATATCATATTACATAAAAAGATCATTTTTCTGTCAAATATAAAACGAAAAGCAATCGTAGAGTTTTATCTTTTCACCATGTGACATAAATTTCTCATTTAATAATTGACACAAAAAAAGCGAAAAACAAAGAACATCTATACAATAGAATTTATTTAACAAATATATGACGAAACAAATATTGAAGATTCTTTATGATGCTCGAAGATTAGATGCAAGTGTTGGTTCAGCATTCCAACTTTGTTCAACTGTCATTTTAACACGTTTTTCATATTCACGCCGATTTGTTTGATAAAGAGTAGCTGCTTCAGAATTAGCTGGTGATGAAACATTTGGTTCATCAAGTAATGACTAAAACAGAAATTCATAAAACGAAAATAAAAACATGAAATATTTCATTTAATATCTACTTGAATTGAAGTCAAAATAGCTGAAACATCATATGTAGGTGACCAACGATTTTGTAGAATATCAAGACAAATTCCACCATCAGCATAGACTATTAAATATTATAACATTTATTTTAAAAAGATAAAAAAGAATAGATGTACCATTCGGATGAAACATTTTTGATGTAAATCGAACGGATGGTGGTTTATTTGGATAAGATTCCGTAAATTCTAAAAATAAAAGTTTAATATCAATGAAAAAATTCAATAATCTTAGGAACGAACTATCCACCGTTTGAGCTCATATCGGATTCATAAGGAAGGCTCAGTAAGACTAGAAAAATTCTGAAAGTGTTTATGTCCATGAGCCTCTGAAGTCGAATTATAACCGCTTAACTGAATTTTTGATCCAGCTTCAAGAAGTTTATCAAAAAATCAAATTAGAGAATTTCGATCTGAAATTTTGTCCATAAATAGATCGGATAATCAGTAAAATATCCTGCAAGTTTCAGCCGGGAAAAATGTTCCTTCGTCGAGATATTAAATTTCTATATTAATCGTTCGAGCTATTTATGGACCGAAATTCAGGTCGAAATTCTGTTTTTGTTTTTGTTTTTCAGTGTATACATAAAATCGAGCCGAAAATTCAGTAGAACAGCCATAACTCGGCTTCAGAAACCCATGGAGACGAATGTTTTTAGACTTTTTGCTAGTCTCACTAAAGCTCGCTTGTAAGCGCAATATGTACTCAAACAATAGGTATCAGTTCGAATAGTTCCTCTCGTTAGATATATATACCTAACAATAATCGAAATGTTCCATCTTCAAATGGTGTATCACTTGGTCTAAAGAAAAATTATGAATTTCTAAATTAACTTTGTTTTTTTTTTTCAACTAACCCCAAAATAAAAGCATGCCAAATAAGAATATTATCATCTGAAGGAACAGCTGCAATACCAGCTGGTGGATCTTTTTGTAATCTATTAAATATTGAAGAAAAGAAAATTATTTTTTCCACAAACAAAAGAATAAAAATCATCTAATTTACTGTTTAAAATCACGCATCAAACGAAGACGAGATGGAGTTGACATCTTCTTAAAAATAATGATCTGAAAAAAAGAAATACAACTATGAACTTGAACTTCTTTATTTTTTCTTTTTAACAAAATAACAAGAAAAAAAAACAAAGATGAGATCAATTAAACTCTTCTACTAATTCGATGATGCCTAGAAAGAAAAAAACAAGGAAATTCATTTTTTTTTATAACATTTCATAATTCAAATGACTAACCAGTCGTATTTCGCATCTTTTAACCAACGTTGAAATGTCGATGTTAAATAATTTCCTATAATAATTTGCATTGGATGATAAATTAATAATGGTATAGTTATAGAAATATTTTCAGGAAAAATCATTTGTAAAATAGGCATTCCTATAATACAAAAAAAAAACCTAAATCATATATTTAATCGTATTCTCATTAAATATTCTACCACTAGTTAATGATTTTTGACTACCACAAAATACAATAGCAATTGTATCATTAGGACGAACATGACTTTTTCGACAAGTAAAAAACAACACAATGATTAAAAAGATTTGTATACAAAAAACTAAAAAACGAAAATTGAATATATATGAATCAGTGATTATTCATATTGTTTTTATACTTGTCATAAGAAGAATTAAAAAATCGATAAATGTGAAATGTAATGGACCATGTTGCTTAAATGTCTGACAAAATGTTACATAAATATTACTAAGTAATATCCAACTAGACAAATAAAAACATGTATATATATATATTTTTATCTGAACATATCATATAATGAATTACTTATTAATTGTATTTGCGTATGGCATTACTCGATTGATAACAAGTGGAAAATAGACACGTAAAAATTGTCCTATACCAATCGGCATTAAAATAGTACTTGAAAGTGATATGAGAACATGAATAAATGAATGTTGTCCACCGGAAAATGTTCCCCCGAGCTATTAATACAAAACATATATATGTTTTCTATTAAATAGACAAAAAACATGAAAACACTCTTTAATACCGAACCATCATGTAAAGAAGAATAGGTGTAAGCATTGTTCCTAATAGGCTACCAAGAGTTGAATTAAGCATAGCAATTGCCTTCAATAATAAATTAATAATAATAAAAAATAAAAATAAAATCTTTTCTTATTCTTTTTTTTTTTGATTTACTTCATTTCCACCAATAGCTCGAACAACATAAGCAGCAGTAGATACTGGTGATGGTAAAGTTCCTAATGCTTTTATTCTAAAAATAAAACAATAAAATTGATGAGATTAATTAAAAGAAATTCTACCCAATAGCAACTTGGTATTGATATGTTAATGATCGATAGATAGTAGACAATATTGTAAATAGAAAAGGACAAATAATAAATGAAAATATTTGAATAAATAAATGAATTCGATATTGAAGAACTGTTCGATAAAGTTCCTATTTTATTCAATGAATAGAATAATTTTTGTTGAAAAAATACATTTAAATTCTTTTTTTTATTTGTTTTTTGTTTCACCTCACTTCGTATTGAACAACCATTCAATAAAAAAATGATTATTGTTCCTAATAATTTTATTGTCCATTCAGGTTTTAATGGACCTAGATAACAACAAAAAGAATATTTCTATTTCTATTTTTATCTTTGATCGATTATTATATTTATTAATAATGACCTTCTGTTGAGCCAAATTCAGGATAAATAAAAGCTAATATAATAGAAAAAAAAATTCCATAAAGAAACCAATATTTTGACAAGTGTGTCTGTCGATCAAAGGCAATCATATATATATATATATATATTTTTTTTTTCTTATATATATATATATTTATATCTAAAGATAGGAATATAACAATTGAAAGCAATCAAAAAACAGTATTATAGTCAAAAGGACGTTTAATAATTTATCTATTCATTCAAATTATACTAGAATTAGTAATTTCGTTGTTGTTGTTGCCATAGACATTCTCATTGCCAATCAACTCTCGTTTTTTATGTTCTCATGAGAAAGAAAGAAAGAGTGTGTGTGTGTGTGAGAGAGAGAGAGAGAGAGAACAAAAAAAAAGATCATCAGTCTAGAATTCAATGTTGTGAAGGAAAAGACAGAGAAGAGATCGACTACTGTTTGGTAATTCGGACATGCGGATGTTTCCGCATTTATTTGCATAGACTTTTTTTTCCTCTTTTCTTTACTTGAATGTTTGTTGCAAGAACAAAGAAGAGAGAAAGATACTCATGTAATCAAATTGACTCAAGCGCTCCTTTGGCTATGGCTAGTGCATTTTTTTTTCTTTTCTTTTCGTTTGTCACGCACTTGCATAGGAAATTGGTGGAGTGTCTGTGTTAGTGCTATTATTATTAAAATATATTGTCTATTGAAGATTGTTTCTTATCATCTATATTTTTAGACGATATAAGTAAACATTCTGAAGAATATGTTTAAAAAAAAAGATAAGTGTTAGGGAACGAAAGATACATGTGACCCTAAATTACATAGCACAACTATTCTCTTATTCATTCTTTGAGTTCAGTCATTAACGATGTTGTTAAGTTTCTCTGACAACGGCTCGTGCACACCCACACAGACACACACAGCGACGTAGAGAAAGTAAAGAACTATCAAAATCAGGAACGAGAGTGTGTGAGAGAGAGACCGAGCGAGAAGAGTTATATTTATGACTAAAAAAAAAAGACCTTTCCTTTTCTATAACAAATAAGCATTCATTCATCATTATTTTTCTTTTTTTTTCCTTATTCTTCTAGATAAATACAAATAATATGTCTGACAATATTAATAATAATTCTTCATTCGATTTATTAATTCGAATATTCTATCAAGATGATCGTACACAATTTGATATTGAACTTAATCATTTATTAGATCTTTCACGTACACAAGATATGCGTTTATGTACTGATATTATTCTTCAAGCTTATAAACAAAATGAATTAAATTTTCTTGAAGAATTACTCGATCGAGAAGTTATTTATAGTGGTATACCAAATTTAACAATACTACATGCTGCATCAGGTTATGCATTATCAAAACTAGTTAAATATCTACTTGATGAACGCAAAGCAGATCCAAATGAAACATGTACATTTGTGAAAAATGATCAACTCTCTGGTATATATTTATTATTAATATAAATAAAAGAAGAACAAATAAAATAATCTCAAATTTCTATCTAGGTATTACTCCATTACATTTTGCCTGTGGTATTGGACCGGAAAATATTGTTAATGAAACAACTGATACTGTAAAATATTTATTAGAAGCCGGTGCTGATGTTAATCTAGTCACATCACGTCACGATACAGCTTTACATTGGGCATCTAAATTTACTAATGAACATGTTGTTCAATTATTACTTCAATATAAATCTAATATCAATGCAATCAATAGTTTACAATATACTCCTCTATGTGGTAAAAATTTTTATAAGAGAAGAAAAAAGAAATTTTTATTTTAAGAAACCGAGTTTTTTTTTTAGAAGCATGTTTTTATGGTAATTTTGAAATTGTTAAAATACTTGTAGAAAATGGAGCAAGTGTTAATGGAAACCAAAATGATGAAAGATCTCCAGGTGAGAAAAAATAAAGACTTATAGTCATCTATCTTTCAAGGTTATCTATTCATTAATAAAATAAGTTTTATTTTATTAATAGTTTATTATCAAGGGATAACCTATTAAAAAAACAAGAAGTTTAATGAGAATATCTCCTGGGATAAAAGAAGGTTATTGAATAATATATATATATATATATATTCATAACCAGTTTAATAGAAAAAAAACAAACTAGAAAAAAACTTTTATGCATATGTTAAATCAAGGTCAAAATTATAATAATCTAGCTTGGGACGGAAATGATCAAACGTTGTGCATATATATATTCATTACCATTTTTAGGCAGGAAATTTGTTATTAGATATTAAATATTAATGAATGAAAAAAGACGATTTTCCACATCAGCAGATAATCTGAAAAAAAAAAGAAAAACCGAAAATCTTTATGTCAAAATTAAGATATGGAAAAAAGAAAAAGAAAAAAAAATCTATAAATATACCATCGATTAATTACTCAGCAGGCGAACCATTAATCAAAGAAATATATCAGATAATGGTTTCTTGTATAATAGTGAGGGTTTTTTTTTCTTTGTTATATAAGTAATGTTTGATGAACTTCCTGTCATAAAAGTTTATAGATTCCGGAATAGAAAACTTATCTTAAATAGTTAAGGAAAAAAAAGACAAATCTTTTATCGAACGTTCTAAATGAGATGATTTTATTTTTTGTGTGATATTCTAGTTCATCTTGTTTGTCGTGGTTTATTAAGTGAACATAATGCACGTCGTATAAATCCATCAAATGAAACAATTATTGAAAAACTTGAAGAACGTCTTGAAATAGTTAAATATTTATATTCACATGGTGCATCAATTTATACATTTGATCGTGATGGTCTTACACCATTTATGTATGCATGTTCAAGTGGAAATTATTTACTTGTAAAATATTTACTAGATGAACAAAAACCTATAGATGATACATCAACATTAAAAATAATTAATGAACGTTCAAATACAGGTGAAACATGTTTAATGTATGCTATTGAATCGGGTAATTTAGATATTGTTACACTTTTATGTAAATATGGAGCTAAACTTAATGATCAAAAAAGTCCATCATATGTAACAGCTGCAGCTTTTTATGGACATACAGATATACTTGAAAAATTAATTCAAATGGGACTTGATATTAATGAATTTGGTATGTTAAAAACGAAGAAAAAGAAAAATGTTAAGAAATTAAAAAAAATAATTCTTTCTTTTGTTTTAGATCAAAATGAGGATGGTGTTATTTTCAATCCTATTTATGCTTGTTGTCATTGTGGATCAGTCGAATGTCTACAATTATTACTCGAGGGTAAAGCAAAACTTGATTGGAAAACAAGTCAAGGTAATTATTCTTTTATCTGATTGTAAAGAATAAAAAAAACACAAGAAAAATTGATTGTCTTTTTTTCTTTACTCTTAGGAACAAATCCTCTTCATGCTGCTTGTTATTCAGATAAATGTTCAGTAAAACTTGTCGAACTTCTGTGTCAATATGGAGATTTTGATTTAAATGAATGTACAAATTCAGGTGAAACACCACTTCTTATGGCTATTGAACGAAATGATTATGAATTAGTCGATTATTTATTACGACAAGGTGCCTATCCTGATCGACCTAATCATGATGAATGTTATCCAATTCATCTAGCTTGTTTTAATGGACAAGCAAATATTATCTATTTACTTCTAGCATTTAATGCAACTATTGAACAGTCAAATGAAAACTATCCACATCCATTAGTGATTACAACTTATAAACGAGATTTAGATTGTTCGAAATTACTTATCGAATCACCAAAATGTTCTGATCGAATAGTTCGTGAAGTTTTAATTGAATCAATCGAAAATGGTTTTGATGAATTAATTAGTGAAATACTTCATATACGACCTCATCTTATACCAGATGATCTTAAAGATAAAATGACTGATACACTTCTCGCACTCGAACAACTTAATATTGATTCATCAGCTTAATTTCATTACATTAAACGAAAATTTTCAAGAAAATAAAATCCAAAGAAAAAATGAAAAATAAAACAAAACAGTAAAACATATTTTCAAAATTCTATTTTTTTCTTCTTTTTTTTTTTTTGTTTTTTTGTTCACAAAAAGAAATCATCTATATATATATATATATATATATATATGTATGTATGTATGTATTAAAAGCTGTCCAAGCATCAAAATGAAAACCAACAAAACAACAGATTCGTTTTCTTTCTGTCGAAACAAATAAAATACAGTGTATAACCAAAATGAAATAACGAGAATAAATAATAAATTTATAGAATTAGGACAGGAAATATGAAGTGTAAATATTAATTATCAATACATTTATAGAGAAATCTATCGCGTTTTGTTACATCACTGTAAACAAAAACAAAAAAAGGAAAAAAAGAAGAAAAAGAGTATTAATCTTTTTTTTTCTTTCTCTGACTAGGTGAAAAAAATATATATGTACGCGATAAAATACGGAAGTAAATTAATCATTATTTACGTTGAACCCAAATGCCAAACAATAAGATATGATATATTTCTATTGCTAGTACTTATATCATCAATTTTGTCTGTTGTTGAATCTCCAATACGAAAATCAATGTAACCATCACCACCACTTACAACAAGTATATCACCAAATGCTAATGCTGATGTATCAGTTGTATTTGCAGTTAATGTTGAATTTATTGTTTCATCATCATGAAGTAATTTTGATGGTGGTTGACCAGGTACAGCAACAAAAAATTTTACAGCATCACGATAACCATGAAATGATAATTGGGCATTATTCATACTACAATATGGAATATAATTTGATGATGTTTGATCATAGACACGAACAACAGAACCAGGTTTTGTTGTTATTGATGAACTCGATGGAGTTGTTGTTGATGTATCTAGACAAAAAATAAAAATAAACAAAATTTAGTATCTATAGATTATTCTCTATTATGAAAAGACTTCCAAAGAACAGAAGTAGTTCATTGAACTTCTAATCTGTTTTGTAAGATGAATTTTTAGTTATGATTTGATTCATTTACGAAGATAGAATTATACAAGATTTGATAAATTGGAGTTTTCAAACTATTTGAGAATTTCGATATCAGCAATGATAGTTATCGAGGAACAGAAAATTAATTTCTATACTTTTCCAATTCTATATTATCAGATAACTTGAGTGATACGTTCATCAATCATACAGATGTGCTTATTGCGATACTTTGACTTGAGAAATTATTGAACTTCGGAGAAGTTGAGAAAAAACTTCTATACTACTCTGCCAGATGATGTCATCTTAGAAGCATATGTACAGTTTAGAAACGCAAGGAGATATTTCTATCAATTATTTTTGGAAGTATAAAGTAGACTATTTACTACCACATGAGAGTTTTTCATTTTTATGAAATAGGTATTTCAGATCTTATGAGTGTTTCAATAATGAATCTCAAACTCATCTCATACTAACACTTGTTTTTGAAGTTCGATAAATTTTCGTGTATTTTCAACCATTTTTCATTCAGCTTTGTGAAATGTCTTATTTTTCACTAAAAGACATATGTATATTTCTATTAACTTAATAAAAATTTGAATCGTTTGATTTCTAGACTGTTTATAATCCCAATAACAAAATATTAGTAAAACATGTCTATATCCTATTCGTCAATTCTTGAACAACTGTTTCTCATTAATGCCAATGCGTACATATTTTTTCGACCTCATAAAAAGAAACTCGTTTATTTGTTAAAAAAAAACATATGGAACAAACGACATTAGATATATAAAAAGAAAAAGTTACAACTCAACAGCAAAAAGCAATGAACTAATCTATTCGATAATTTAGAGAGAGGCCCTGGAGACAATTATCCGTTTCTGTTGGACTATTTTTCGATTTTTTTCCCACTAGAAAACGCTCAATAATGAGACAATATGACGTCTGATTTCACTTCAAAATGCACCTTATGACTCTGATCATTTCTTCTTTCCGTTAAAATGCTTCCCATTTATTAAAACCCTAGATCCATCACTGCAATAATTTGCATTTCTATTATGCATTCATTCTGATAGGTTGCCCTTCTATTACATTTAGAAGATCATAACCTTGAGACTAGGCTTTTATCCTGAGGGGAAGAGTGTTAATTCAAATATCAACTAATCCATTTGGGAGCTTTCTCTATTTTGAACTTGCTTCTTTCTTCAGATTTATTAACAGTTCATTTCGTAATATAATTTGAATATACGCTATCTCTCTAGTTGATTGTAATGTTAATCAATAAGATTTATCTTGAATAATTAAATAATTTTTTGATGATACTTACTGTCAGAAAGTGGAACAGAAATAATAATACCATTACCAGTACCAATCCATAGACGACGACATGCAATCGTCAATGCACTAATATGAACAAAATAAAGACCAGCTTTTTCCGTTGCTAAAAAGAGAAACAAAATAAAATAAAATAAAAAACAAATATGAATATAAATATTGTTGGAAAAGAAAAAAGTTTACCAATCATTTTTTCAACATATGGTTGTACATCAACATCTTGTAAATGTTGATATGTTTGTGCATGATATAATTGTAAAGTACTTGACAAACGAATTGATAACCAAACACCATCACCAGACCAAGTCATATGTTGAACAGAATGATCCGATCGTGAGTGAACATCAAATTGTTTCTAATCGTTTACAAAAAAAAAACAATTTTTTAATTAAAATCATAATAATAATAAATCAATATTAAACATACTCGAACTTCTAATGTTTGTGTATGAATAACATAAACTCGATTAGCTACACCACACCATACTGTGTCTCCAACATTAATCATACATCGTACTGATTCTCGACTTTTACCAGTTACAATTAAATGAATATTACTTAAATTCCATGTTCCATCTTTAAAATTAAAAAAAAGAAAATTTTATTTATTTTCTTTTCTCTTTAGATTGCTTTTTTTTCTGTACCTATATTACGATGAAATACAATCATTTTTTCATTAGCAAGTGTAACAAATACTCGACCACGAACATGACTAATAGAATATAAAATAAATTATTTTCTTTTCTTTTTTTTTTTTAGAATTATTTTCTTACACAATACTATAAATAGCATGCCGAAGCCAAATTTTTTCAATTGTTTTTCGATGTTCACTTATAGCTGAATGAATATATAACCATCCATCACCTGATCCTAACCAAACAGTTGGATATTTCGTCGATGAATTTGTTTTATCTTCATTGTCGGCTAAAAAAAGAGACCACAGATTCACATACACTGACTGCAAAAATTAATCATGACAAATTTAATTTCGATTTTTTTTCGTAATAGTAACTGACATAAGGAATCTAAATAGTAGCTTAGATAGAGAAATTTATTGTCAACAAAGATTTGAGGAAAACAAAATCTTCACAGTAGTATAAAGCTCATTAGGTTGGTTTCAGATTTGATGGACTCTAGTCATCTGTAAAATATGCAAGGTACACTTGTTACAGAATACAAAAAAAAGAGAAAAAAGTATCTCGTATCTTTGGGGTGACTATTCAATTTCTATTAGAAAATTTTCATTGAGAATATCACAGCACAGCTCGATCGAGTCCAAAAGTTTTGCACCGGACAAGTTCTACTGCATTCCTAAAATCCAAAACTTGGTTTTCCAGCATGTAGAACTTCGACGTAAAAGTTTCTTTTGATCACACAGTATGATAGAGCAATGTGTGTTTCTTGAAATTGATGTAGTTCAGTGAAAAAATGCTGTAGAAAGCTCGGAGACATCTCTTCTTCTAGTGAATTAGTTGCTCTATCATCCTGTATAATCAAAAGAAACGTGTAGATTCTGAGTGCTAAAAATTAGGTTTTGAATTTTCTAGAAATCCTAAATTTTGAAAATACAATTAGGATCTTATTTTCTTTAAATCTTTATTGAAAACAAATTTCTTTATTCAAATTACTATTTTGATTCTTTATGCCAGTTGCTATTAGAGAAAAAAAAGATTGAAATTAAATCTGTCTGAGCAATTTTTCATAACAGTATAAATTCATATTCATCAAAAAAAAAAAAATTAAACAATCAGAGCAGCATAAAAAAAACCGAGGCAATGAGCGTTACTATCATTTCGACGAGCAAAACCTGACCAAGAGAAAAATGTTTTCGAACCAGAACGCGTTCTATTCTCTTTATTTTTCTTTTCTTCTATTAAAATACATATCTATTGAATAGATATTTTTATTAATTAATTAAATACTAACGTTGACGAGCTAAATCAGTTAAAGTTTGTTCAGATGCTTTTAATTCAAGTGGATGTGTTTCTGATGTACTTGGACGACCTAAAACAAAACCATAATTGTAGATATTTATTTTCTAAAATACAAAATAGAAACCAAAATCTTACTTCCACCTATAGAAAGTGATGCAACAGTACATGGTGTTATTTTTACATCTAAATGAATAATTTCTTTTTTTGTAAATAAAAAAAAGATTTTTTTCTTCGAATATTACCACTAGCTGATGCTGTATCAGCTTCAAATAAAGTCCATTTTGAATCATCAAATGGTGAATAATCTGTACTTGATGGTCCTATAAAAATTTATTCAAAAAAACAAAACAAATAATCAAAAGAATTTTGTTTTTTTTTTTTTTTTACCTGGAACACTACCCATAGTATAAACAATAGTATTTCCTAATGTAAATGTATCAATAATTTTTTCAGCTTTATTTGCATCAATAATTGTAATCATAGCTGTATCATTTGATTTAGCAGCAATCCAAACAATTGATGATAATTTTAAAAATTGTTCATCAATCATTTGATGATATGATTCAATTAATTGTTTATTTAATTGATCAACAGATGTTTCATTTATTGTTGATAGATCATCATTAGTTAATGATGAACCATCGAGATCAATACCAACAGCACACCATATCTAAATAAATTTGAATAAGACAAAAAAATTGTTTTCTTTTTTAATTACTACTTGTGTTGTATCATTTGTATGAAATATTGGTCGACAATAAACCGGCACAGGTACATTAACTTGAACTCTACCATTTATTTCAGATAATTTCAATTGATTTTTTGATGATAAACTCCAACCATATGCTTGAAGACGATTATCATCGTTAATTAATATTGAACTACTCCGACGTGTTGATGATGATGATTGTTTTGGTATATCAATAACTGTCGTACTAAATTAAAGGAAAAAATAACTTATATACATATAGACAGGATCATTCGTTAACGACATGACTAGGCAAAATTAGAATACATGCGTTTCGGAATAAGAAATTCTCCTAGAGCTAATTTTTATATGTCACAGTGCAAGAGATCTTTATTTCGGAGAGTTATCAGTAAAAAAAAAAGAGAGTAAAATGACATTGACTTTCACTTCATGCATTTTAGTTAAAAAGACTATGAATCAAGATAGTATTTTTTTTAAAAGTATAGTGTATATCATGAGGCTGAAAACTCTCTCTCCAATGTTTCTTTGGGCATACCTCGATTTTTTAAAAACAAACAATTTGCCTTTCGTTAGTGACCTCACGGAGTACAAAAAAATGCTCTTATCACCGAATGATAAGTTCAAAGTCAATTTCAAACGATATAAATCCTTCTTCAGAATTTCTAGAAAACTGTGTTTTTTTAAGAGGCAGTCTTTTTGGAGCCCTATCTTCCTGAAAATTTCATCATAGATGTGATTCATTCCGTAGAGTTTATCTTGAAGTTTTCGGATTTTTTTTCTCATATGCATAGAGAGATATTTGCTAATTACTCTTTAACTAATAGTCAACTGAAAGAGGCAATATTTTTCCATATATCTATACTAAAAAAATTTATTCAGAAAAATAATTCTTGTAAATAATCAAAGATGGATATGTTTCATTTTGTGTGGAATGGTCTATATCGAAATTTTTATCATTGAGAAATATTAATAAAAAATCAAACCTCTCTGATATTGATCGTTCTAATGGATGAGTTTCATCTGTTGTATTTTCTTGTCTATTGATGATTGGTGTTATTTGATCATTTGTTGGACTACGTGTAATTGTTGTAGAAAGTGATGATAGATTTGTTGTAGCTGTACGTTTTGGTGGAATATCTTTAACACTAGCACCAAATAATCCCGAAAAACTAGAAGATTCAATAGAAATAAGAAAAAAAAAAACTAAATAAAAATATATTTATTCTAATAGAGTCATAGTTGTTATTATTTCTTTTTTTATTCTTACAACTCAGAAATTTGTGTTGTACCCTCTTTTAAATCATTCTGTATAGCACCAGCACGTGAAACGAAAGCATTTGTGGGCAGCCAGTTATTACTGAACATACTCCACAAAGATTTTGATGGAGTTCTAGAAGAATTTGTTGATGATGAAGATGAAGGATTTTGTTGTACTATTTGTTGATAACGTATTTTTGTTTGTGTACCTTTGCTTTTCATCGAAATTCTCTATAAGGAAAAAAGAATGGTATCCATTCGAAGGTATTAATTTTTCTTTTTATTTTGTTTGGTCATAAGCTTGATCATTTCATGCATACATTAGTAAATATCTAATAGAATGAAAAATGTACCGAACGGATAGATAGAATGCGAGAATCGTTTTTCTTTAACAATTAAGGGTACAACACAAATTTTCTAATTTCATTATAAAATCTTTTTTTTATTAACTCACAGTTTCCAAAATGTTGTTCTTTTCTTGTTTTGTGTATGATCAAATGCACTATCATTCATTGTATTCATAGCTGACGTTGTATGCATTTGTTCTTGTCTAGATGCACGTAAAGCATCTTGCCAATGAATAGCTTCTTCAAGTTCAAATAAACGTTGTTTGTATTGATTACGTTCAAGAAGAACACGTTGCATTTCAACTCGAGTAAAACGCTTTCTATCTGCCATCGGTACATCTTCCTGTTAGAATATAATATATTATTAAAGACACAAAAAAAAAACAATTCATTATATAAAAATATCATAGCAATTGTTTAAATCAATCTAATCATCCATCGATAATAGTAGAGCAGCAAAAAGATCAAATATTTTTTTTTTTTTTTTTTCTTTTTTATAAACTTACATTCCAAAGTAAGTCAAGAATCTATTAGAGAGTATTATTATGATAAGTACTACATGCAAATTCATTTTTTTTTTCTTTTGGTTTTTCATGCTTATAAAGATTTTTATTAAAAATCTTACCTCTTCTTCTTTTTTCTTTTTTTCAAGTTCTTCACGTGTTTTACGAAGTTCATCTTCAACTTCAGTTATTCTATAATATGAAATTTTTTTTTTTAGTCATTCGAAAATTTTCTTTTTGTTTTTTACCTCGATTGTAATCGACTTTTAACTGTTTGTAATGAACTAACTTCTTCTCGAAGAATTTCTTGTTCACTACAAATAAAATATATATATATATATATTTATCAAGTGTATATATATTAAACAATTCTATTTTACTTTGTTAATTCTTCAATTTTTACTAATAAATCATCTTTAAGTACATTCAATGCATTTCTATTCAAATAAACATAAAAGAATATTTTTCTTGTTATTATTTTTTAATTTTAAATACTTTGTTTCAAGAAGTTCATTATTTTCTTTAATTAAATTTGATACTTCTTTTGTCATACCTAAATCATTGAAAATAAAATATAATAGCTAATAGATACTAATGAAAAACAAAATAACAATATTAGTGTTAGATCCATTCAAGCATTAATAAAAAAGAAAAAAAAAAGGAGAGGAAAACAAACAAGGAAGTTCCTATGCCCATTTTACAACAAGAAATTCTCACCGTAAAAACTTTGTCGAACTGAATAAGAATTCAAAAAAAGAAATAAGAGATAAATAAAACAAAAAAAAAAATCAAATAATTAATCTCTATTTACCAAATAAATCCGCTGATGAATCCATATCTGATATATCGATATTTTCATTTTGTGTTTCTTTATAAAAAGCTTCGGAATTTTTCCTACAAAAAAAAAAGAAAAATTCAATTATAATTTTATTGAAATAAATATGTTTAACTTACGCATCATTTGCTGATATATCATCATCATCATCACTAGCTGCAACATCTATATTAAAATCAATATCATTTATAAATTAAATTAACTAATTTAGAACAAAAATCAAAAAACAAAAAACAAAATTTTTTTTTGACATGCACATGCAAAAGAAGTTTTTTTTTATACGTATTATTTTCCTTTTTTTCCTTTCTCAAACTATTTTGATTCAGATCACCTGCAGTATTGTTTGTCTGTTCGAATTCATCTTCATTAACGAAGAATTGTTGTTCATCAAACGGTTCCGATAGTAGATTGAGACTTCGAAGTTTCGAGAATATTCCTACATAGCATGCAACATAGACAATACACAAACAAACAAAATGCAAATATTATCAGGTACAAGAGAATTATAAAAATAAAACGAAATTTACAATAGAATGCATACAAATAAGCAAAAGCATAAGCAGCATAAAAATTCAGTTAAATCGGGAAATGAGAACAAAAAAAAGACTCCAATTTGCATTATGTATTATTCTCTCATGCGTTTATTGATTTGGGGATTAAAAATAAGAATAGCTTTATGTGGTAGTTGGAATTATTGCCAGTCGAAATAAAACTGCGAAATACATGCTGCTGCTGCTGCTGCTATTCGGAAAGACTATCTCTTACCATGTTTATATTTTTCAATATTAGAATCATCAAAATCTAGATTAAATAATAAAATCTCGATTTCTGCTTTTGTTTTTCTAATGAAAAAAGACAAAAAAAAAAAAAAAAGGAAAACTCGATTTTCTTCTTTTCTCAACTCAGCATTGGCATTTTCATTTAATTATACGAGCACATTTTGACAAAAACAACAAACATTTAGACAACATGAATTTTACAATAGCTAGCCGACCTGATGCGAATTCTTTTAAAGGCGTTTCATCAGACATTTTTGATGAATTTGTTATTGATATTGTTGATGTAGATTTTGCCGATTTAGCTGAAAATATTTATGCATATTACAAAATCATGCACTAGTCAAATACAAGTGTTTTTTTTTGTAATTCTTGCATATCATTCATCCTTAGGACAAGAAAAAAGGAATTCAATTACTTACAACTATTTGGCCAATTCTCTACCCAGTCACCATGAAAAGCTAAGTTTGAATATGGAATTTTTTTTTCTGAATTTTAGGTTTTTTTTTGTGTACGAGAAAGGGAAAGGGTTTGAATGGAAAAAGAAGAGAAAGGATATATACCTGTATTTACAGCTGCATCATTACTGGTCATCGATTCAGTCTGAGTCTGTTTACCATCAGCAGCTTCAAGTTCAGAACGAAAATTAACACCAATAGTTGGTTGTTTAAAAGTTCTATTATGAAAAAAATAAAAAAATAAAAATTTATGAATTTGATAAAAATTTACTGAAAAGAAATATCTGGACGTGGAGGAGTCATTTCATCGGTTAATGTTTCATTAGAAGGTGCTTGTTTATTGTCTAATAATTGAGATTGTTGCTGTGATGTTAATGGAAGGTTACTTCTATAATATTAATAAAAAAAATAATTTTCATTGTGACAAATACAGATTCATTTGAATACGAGCACTTGTTCAGCTCGGAAATCGATATATCAATTTGTGACTAAATAATAGTCTGTATAGTATACATTACAATAAATAACTATGTAGAATATGAGTCATCAATCAGTACTAGAACCTGTTGAATCTAAAATTTTTGAACCTGGATTTGATTTATTTAACATATTTCAGACTAATATCTGGTTGATTAAACTTTTTCTGATCCGAACTTTACTCATATTTTTAGCGAAAATTTTTAGCCTGAACCTTCAAGTCGCTCCAAAGGTAGAGAATACTTTCTATCAGTGATTTCTATTCTGTTATTAACACATCCTACACATTTTTCAGATGATCTTATAATAATCAAGTCATAATTGACTGTTACTTTTAGAGTATGACTCTCTCTGTCTCGGTCTCGAACCTCATCAAGTTCAGGACCAACTCGACAGGCTCTACCTGGTACTCGGTAGTAAAATAATAAAATTTTTGTTTTAGTGAACTTCAATCGTTTAAATTAGTGAATTTCGTATCAATCATTTCTTATTTGAAAAAGCAAAAGACAATGAATTTTGTTTTTCATTATGTATGGACGATTTGCATAAAAATTTTCTTTAATCATTTTTCAACGAATGAGAATCTGCTCTTCATTGTTTAATATCCTTCGAAATTTTAATTGAAAAAAAAACAACAAACAAAACTAACCGAGAACGTGGAGCATTCTGTGTTGCAGATAACTGATCTAATCGATCAGTTCCATATAAAATTTTTGTTCTTTCCATATAATCACAATGAGCTTTAAATAACTAAATATATAATTAAAATAAATTTATGATTTTCTTTTTTTTCTTTTTTATTTGTTTTACTTCACAATATCGTTCATGTAATCGTTTATATTCAGTTTTCATTTCATTTTCTTTTTCTTCTAAACGAGCAACATGATCTGATGCATTTCGTGCTTTTATTTCAAATATTTTAACAATAGATTCAAGACTTTGTAATTTTTCATCATTTTCACGTTTCATTTCTTCAAGATGATCTTCAACTTGAAGATAACGCTAAATATAAAAATTTTTAAAATCGTTTTTTGTTTTTTTTTGTTAAATGATAAATCAAAAATTTACCTGATGATATTCTTTATGAAAACCTTTTTCACGTTCATATTGTTGAAATAATTGTTCATTCTGTTCTTTTAATGATTCAATTTCAAGTTTACTAACTTCACGTTCATTTAGAGCACTATCAAGTGATTCTAAAAAATATTATCAAGAAAATTTTATTGAATTTTTTGTTTGTAATTTTATTCAACAAACCTAATGTTGATATCATAACAGGCATTAAATCTTTTACACTATTTTCACCGAAATTTTTTATAATACGTTCTAATTCATTATAAACATTACTTGCTAATGTTGTTACAGTTTCAGATAATAATGTATGACTTTCTTCACTTGCTGCTGAAGATGATAATTCATGTTCATTAGAATTATTTTGATCAGAAGTTTTTAAACGTGTACGATTTGGTGAAAATGTTGGTTTTGTTACTGTAGATTCTGAAGACATTGTTTTTTTAAAAATTTTTTAAGTAAGATTTCGTTTCATCTAGGAAGAAATGTTAAATAAATACAAAACAAAACTCAATTTCGTTGCTTAAATTTGATCGATTCAATCTCATTTGACCTCGCAATAACAAAATGAATCATTTCACATTGATTAAGATCTATTATTGGATTTGAAAATTATTTATAGAATTATATTAAAAATCATATGAATTGTTAAGAAAAAGAAAAGAAGTTGAAGAAAGAATTTTAAAAAATGTAGTTTTATCTAATAAAAATCTTCTTTATAGATGGCGTTGTTTTCTTGTTTGATTATATTATATAACTGATAATAATAATCTTTGACTTAGGAATAAGTAATTGTTTGGAGATTAATTCAAAGAAGTTTCATAAGGTAAATCAATAAAAAGAAAAAGAGCGATGAAAATGAAAGAGTTATTTTTTTTTCAAAAGATTTGAATTTGATTCCTAAGAAAAAAAGTAAGATGCTCAAATTATCTGATAGAAAATGTCGGCGTCATTTTTAAATCATTTTTTTCTCTTCAATGTTTTGTTTATGTTTAATAAAAAAATTCCGATTAAATATATACATATTAAAATAATCTTTTTGATGCTATATTCAAACAAATGTATGTAGAGTATTTATATATAAGAACAATTACTCTTTCATGAGTAATAAAATCTCAAGTATGATACATAAACTAAACACTTGATTATGAAGTAAATGTCATGACAAGCTACTTTTTAGAGATCTCTAGAAAGAAATAATAGACTACAAAGTAAATATCTCTAATAAATTGAAATCTTAACCGTGACTAGTAAGAATAATACGATTTTCTCTTTGAAATTCTTTTTTCTTTTACTTGCTGTATTGATGAAATTGTTTTATCATTAATGTCCGGCAGAAACGATTTTTTTTCTCATTCTATTTTTCATGAGAAACGTGAATCGAAACGATACTAAAGAATGAGTGTTCCAGAAAACTGTTTAGTTTTTTCTTTAAGTATATATTCTCCAAAATTTTCTCTTTCAAACAAGAAAATATCGAAGTCAATCCGATGTTACATTGTTGAGAAATAGATTTCGACATTCTCTTGAAGACTTTTACATTGCCTATTAATAAAAAGTACACAAGTTCATTTATTATTCATTAAGTTTTAATATCAATTATCACTGATTTATATTTATATGTCCATAGTTAAACGAAGGATTTAAATCCTCTTTAATGATTTATTAAAGGATTGTACATCGTTGATAATTAACTGAAGATGACATACGATTTGATGAATTTCGGTTGTTATTATTCAGTGAACTTCTATTCGATGTTTGTTCATGATGATTTTCAAATATATATGATTTTGGTTGAATAGCGTTACATATAATATTAGAAATTAGTTTCCTATCAGCAAATTCAACAATTGTTTGAGCATAATTTTCACGCCAAACATAACACCAAATTTCCATTTGAATAGCGTCATTTAAAATTTCGAGTTCACTAGGAACAATATCTTATGATATTAAAAAAAACAAGAAAAGAAACAATTACATATGTATAATACATTTGTAATCCTGTTTTTTTTTTCTACCTTTTAATAGAAGAATATTTGGTATACAATTAGCACAAATATTGACAATTGTATAACAACTCCATGCAACTAACTTTGAATGTTCATTTATATCGTTAAGTCCACGACCAGCATGTGGCATTGAGTTTTTCATTATTTCAAATAGTTTTGGTATTATATCAATCTCATTTAACTGAAGAAAAAAATTCAATGAAAATTGTTTTATACCGGAAATAAGCTTATTCTGTTATTGAAAGAAAAAGATAATATCAATTCTAAATATTGAGTTACTCGAATCTTACTTCAATAATTATACGAAATAGAACTGACTCACATAAAATCTATTAGTTGAATAACTACTTTCAATGAAAAACAAATACATATTTTTGATATGTAAAAAAATAATCGTCATATTTTGCTTTAATAAAATAAGAAAATAGTCTTTTGTGTAATATTTCTAAAATTTACAAGGATGAAAAATTTTTCTTCATAAGATAAGAAATACAAATGGATATATATATATATCTACAGAAGAATATTTTTTTGTCGAATTATTGCGACGTTTCCAATCAGGGAATGCCATAGGGCGATTTTCTTCGTCCTGGCAGGACAAATGAATCGCCTGCATCTAGCCTGAAGGACGATCTTTTCATTACATTTTCGACAAGATAAAAACGTATCTGTATATGAGGTATGATGTTAAATATCATAGACACATTATTTATGCAAAACTAATTTATAATATAATCATGTTAATAAATCTGATAACATGTTTTCCCATAGAAATGAATTGAACAATAAAAAAAATATTTGACAACCATATCGTTAGTAAAAAAAAACATAAAGATATAGGATTCAGAATGTAATCAATATTAACAGATGAACAACGAGAAGAGATAAGCTTTCTTTTTATTACTTTTTCTTGAGATTCTTGTACGAACGAATCAATAGAATGTTATTAATTTCACTTGGTGATAAACGTATTCATCTTTCAGTAAATGTCAATCCAACTAAGTTAAATAATCTTTTCATCGAAGCACTAGTCGCTGGTATGCCAGCTACACTTCTGACTACTATTGATAATAATGGGAAATTATGACGAGTTTCACAACTCGATCAGAACTTCATTGGATCACGATCAATTAGACGACTTCAATGTCCGATAGGATACACATCCTATGATGTTCTCTACCTTGAGTCGAAAAAAATGTCTTATCAAATCAATAGGAATTACTTTCATTTGAAAACTAAGATTATCAATTGCTGCTTCAGCAATAGCAATCATGGCAGCCAAACGCATTCGTAAATCTTGATGAGACAATGCTCGAACGAGTAATTTTGAATAGAGTTGTGTTGAATTTTTTACTTGCATATGAGCTATATGATCATTTAAAATAAATAAATAAATTTTAATTCATTTTCAAAGATTTTTTTTGTTTTTTTGTTAATCTATACCACAACAAAGTGTATGACCAATTGCAACAATAGCTTTGATTTTTTCTTCAATTGTTACGGATTCATCTTCATCTTGAATTATTTTAGATAGAGAAAGAAGAATAGCTCGTGCTTGATCATCCATCGATTCATAAACATTAATAGTAAGATCATGAATTTCATTGATTTCTTCTTCAGAATTTGGTTTTCTTCGTCGTAAACGAAACCATTCAAGCCATGAATTTTTCTATTTAGAGAAAAAAAAAGAAATCGTTATTAATCAAATTCTTTTGTCGATTAAAAAATTTCATACTTTTTCGTATGGCGTAGGCAATGTAATACCACTATCGTCATACAGAAAACTCAAGTTCATCTTAATGTATTCAACATTTTATAAATCTCATTAATTATCTTCTGTTCGATAAAAATCTAATCAACCAATCAATAGACAAAGTCTTTAATTAAGAATTCTTTAATGAAAATCTTCTGATTATGTTTATTTCATTGCACTGTTGTTCAACACGACGTATCTGTGTAATACTCTTCTAATACTCTATATGTCTAAACTTTTGATTCGTTCAATTTAATCAGTGATTATTAACTTTTAGAGAATCAATACAACTAAAATCAAATACATGATTTATTACTCTTCTTTCTCGAATAATTTATTATATGTATTAATTGCTTCTACATATGCAAAGCTTATCTATCTTCAAACGGCATAGTTTTGTAATTTTATTTCTGCAATGATTTTAGATTTTATTTACGTATATCAGATGCAGTGTTTTATTTTTCATTGATTTTCTCTTATTGTAAATAACATATAAAGATGAACTCATCGATAATGTAAATTTTCAAATGAGAATATGATACAAGAAACAAATGATTAGCTGAACAATCAAAATTTCTATTTTGACAAGTCATAAAGATGATCATTTTTCAGGAATGATCTCAAACATTATTTTACAACATTTAGAAAAATAACTAAATGTGATTTAAATCTGTAGTGATCTTCAATGCAGTTACAAAAATCTTATATTCGTAATTTGTTGATGTCATATAATCAAATAATTGCATTTATATGATCTAATTTTAGTTTCAACAATTGAATTTAAAAGCATTTAAAAAAAGACTATTTTTTTAAAATTTTCTTTTTCCTTGGAATCTGCTCATTGATTTTAATATATAAAGAGTATCTAACAAGTTTTGATTTCTTTCAATTAGTATTCTTTTCTTATATGTTGTTTTTCGATAGAATAGGCTGATATTTATAGACATTTAGATCTACTCCACACTTAAAATTTGAGTTTTCTATCTCTTATAGTGACAAAGATACAAGTAACATAAAATTCATAAGAATTTTTTTGAATTGTTTATGAGAATTTTTCCATCGTTTTATTATGAATGTGAAATAAAAAAGAATTGGTTTGCATGAGATTTACAAATCAAAATTCTTTAACCATGACAAAAAGAAAAATGTGTGTGTCAACGTTTATGTATCTAATTTATATCTTGATCTTATGATTTGCTTCAAAAGACATCTTTGAAAAATTCATTCTCAAAGTTCTTCTTAACAACATAAAAAAAAAACATTTTGATTGTTTTATCAAAATCTAGGTAACTAATTTTTTTTTATTTTTTTGTTTTATTCAGACATGTGACTCTCGTTAACCGTTTGTAGATGTCATCTACATATATAATAAATATATTTCATCATAACTTTTCTCTTATAGGTCTGTTGCTTGACAACGTCAGCTGTAAATGTTTGTCGATAGGTAATGTTTCAACTCATGCTCGAGAAACAAATCAATTCAGTATTTCGTGTTGGAAAAAAAAAGAAAAGATGTTGTCAACAGAAAAATATGAATTTGATCCTAGTTATCGTGGACAAACAGGATCTAGTATAGGTATATCTACTGTTGGTTTTCGTTCAAATAAATACAATCCAAATGAATGGCATGAAAATAATTATGCTAAATATCATCAATCATTTACTGATCGTGATTTATCAGAAAAACAACGTTGGCAAGCAACACGAACTGAGAATGAAACACTTACACTTTCACAACAAACACAAGCTTTATCAACAAAAAAATTACAACAACGGTTGGTAAATCCGATTTTGTGTTGTTGTTTTTTTTCTTAAGAAAAACTTATTTTTATTTTTATTTATATGTTTATCATTAAAGATTACATGATGTTAATTTTTGGAAATTTGAACTTAATCGTATGATTGAAGATGTACGTAATGAAACTGATTTGTTAATAGCACAAAAGAAACGTTTAACGAATTCATTGGATGCAACTGAAGCTCCACTTCATATTGCAACTGAATCTTTGGCTAATCGTGATCGCCGTTATGGTGAAGATCGTGTTTGTGATGCAGTTGAAGTTGCTCTACTAAAAGAAGTTGAAATTATTAATAATGTACAAAATCTTTTACGGCAAACAATTATGACTGCTGAACAACAAATTAGGTAAACAGAAGATTGTTTGTGGTCAATATATTCTATTTTACATCACTTATTATTTGTGTATGAGATCATCAAAAAAAAAAAACACACTGCACCGTATTATAGCAAATAAAAGTATGTTATAATCAAATAGTTTTTCACTTTTATGATATACAGATTTTTGAACATTTTCTTATTTTTGATTTCTACTTAAGTATTTACAGATAAATTACGAAGATATATTTGACATAGTTACTTGAATTCAATAAGAATTTCTACATGATGTATATCCGCGTGAGATTACACATTCTAGACAAGATTTTATGAGTTTCGATACTTATAGTTAATAATACATTGGTGAAAACTTTTTTCAGAAAGAATAATAGAATTTTTTTGTTTCATTATAGACTAGACAGTAGGTACCAAAATTATTCAATAAGGTTTATTTTTTAAATTCTTTTTTGCTAGCATAAGTGTTAGAAAGAATTCGAATAGTGACTCGAGTAGAGAAAACGATTTCTAATAAGAATACAAGAAACAAAAATTATTATCAAATTCTCAAAGATAGGGATTTCAGAAAACCAAAACCATAGTTTTTCAGATGTCTTCGAGTTCTGTGCAACATTTTTTTGCTGAGATACAGCAATCTTACGTAAGTCCTTAAAGTCATTTTTTTACTATTTGCTACAAAAAATCCATTTTTTGACCATTAATCAAATTATTGTATCCCAGCCAAAAAAAGCTGTAGAGTACTTAGGGATGTTTCATTTTGTAGAGAACTATTTACTCTATCGTTCTATGTAGTCTAAATAAAAGTTCATTTACCTGTTCTAGGTGCTGAAAAATTAGGATTTTGATTTTCTAGAGTCTCTATCTTTGAGAAACAGATAATAATTTTTATTTTCTTATATTCTTGTTATAATACAATTTGTTCTATTCATATCACTATTTGAACTCTTTCTAGTGCTTATGGTAGCGCAAAAGAAATTGAAAATAATCCATATTGAATAATTTCGGTACCCATTGAAAGTCAATTTATACTTTTCATAGTACAATATAATAATGTTTTAAGTTCGTTTTTTGAAAAATACTTTAAATACATTAAATTTCAAATTTGTAAATAAAAAATAGTTGAACTTCTATTGCATAAAACATTAGATATTTTTCTTTTTCTTTTCTCTAAAACTAGAGCAAATCGTAATGCTAAACAAAATCTTGAAATGGATTGGAGTAATAAATGGGAAGCAGCTGTTGCTGATGCTAAAGCAACAAATCGTCGTAATGAAGATGTCGATATTATGTTTTATCCAGGTGTTGCTCGACATTATGACAAGTAAATATAATCGAATATAATATCTTTCTTTTTTTACATTCATCATAATTTTATATTTATTTCTATTCAGTCAATCAACACCTGAATCTTGGGCACAAAATTCTCATGATAATATTGTTAATGGTCAAAATCAACTTATGGCTTCAATACAATTACGTGCATTGATTGATAGTATACTTAGTGATATTTCACGTGATATGCGTGAACAAGCTGATGTTGTTGAAACAGAATTTGCACGACGTATTTCTGAAATGTCTGATGCAATGCAAAAAATGATTCAGAATAATCGTGAAGTAATAAACGAAAAAGAAGAAGATTTTATTGATATATAAAAAATATATTCTTTTGTTTTTAATTTAGACATTAAAAGCTATTGCTGATAATGAGAAAAAAATTGATATGCTTCGTGCTTCAATACGTGCTAAAGAAGCACCACTTAAGGTAGCTCAAACTCGTTTGAATGATCGTCGTGCTCGACCTGGTATTGAATCATGTCATGATCCAGCTCAAGATCAGTAAGCATATTATTTTTCTTTTTAATTTAAAAAATTAATTATCATCTATTTTTTATTCAAGTTTGGTCGGTGAAGTTTATCAATTATCACAATCAGTTGATAGTCTTACAGGAGAATTACGTGAAGCTGAATCAAATTGGAAAAAACTTCGTGATGATCATCAAATACTTGTAAAAGAAATTGAAATGAAAAAAAATAGTCTCTATATTGATCAACAAAAAAGTATGGCAATTCGAATGCGTTATCCAAGTGTTCAACGACTACTTGGTTATAATGCATAATAAAATAAACAATTCTTCCGTTTAATATATAAACATTTATAAAACTATGTGTGTGTGCGTGTGTATTGTATACCTTTTTATTCCATAGAAAAACAAAACATGTCCACATACCTTTTTTTAGCAGATTCATAATTATATTTTTTTTTATTTATTAATTATTATTTTTTCTAGCTTTGTACCTGACAAAGGTTTGATTGATGACATCCTCATACATTAAAAAACAATGTCCTTAATAGTCAAATAAAAATAACAATTATTATTATTATTGTTTGTATTCGTATATATATATATATATATATATTGTTAGTGCATTAAGCACGAATGAAGAGCATGACAAAAAAGATAACTTCTTTTGCACCATCAATTATCATTTGGTGAATGGCATTCATTATAAAAAGATAAGTTTGTTTTGTGATTATGAATAAACAAGCAAATAATTGCAACCATGTGCAGTATATTCATATACATTCAATTAGGGATAAAGGAACCATACAAGCATGCTACAAGTGATTGATTAAATTGATTTATTAGATATTTGGAATATTTGATTTTTCCAGATATTCAAAGGCAAATATTTCTTATTAATCGAATAAAGGTAGAAATATATCTTATAACTTTCAAAAATGGCACAGTCATTCTGTGTCTGCCTGTATGTTTATTGATCACCAAAAGAATTCGTGATTAGAATTGATTTTAGAGTTAACCTACGACGATCATTTTAGCCGTCGGAAACAGCTATAAAACGGTTCAATTCTTCCCGTAAATGGTAAAAACCGATGAGATTCTAATAA